CAAAAGTGTCTTCCTCTTCTAATTGAAATAAATGATTTTGACTTTCACTTTCATATGTGTTGTCCCTTAGTTGGCTCTTACAGTAGCCATTGGAATAATAGGGCTGGTGAAATGTATTCTTTGCCATCACCACAAAGCTAAACTGTACCTAGAACCTAGATTTTAAACCTATAGGCTCTAAGACTTTAGAACATAGACTACAGAATAGGGGAAAATCAAAGCTACCTTACACAACCATATATTTTTATTTAACTAATAGATAAATGGTTCTATCCCCACTATTCCTTACCTAATAAGGTTGAAAATATACAGCTCTGTAATACGGACATGTGGACAGAGATGCGTTGGTAATTGGGTCCAGAGCGTCGTTGACACACTTTAGTTGCCGTCCTCACCGACTGATGTGGAAATGTGGAGTCGTAAAATGGTAGCTAGGGTCGATCCTATACTTATTAACTTTTGAATGTTTGTCTTAAGGTAACCTACCTTCCTGTTATTCCTTCGTTTACTAGTAAATCCATTCCATTTCAATCCAGTTTTGTATAAAGTCCCGTACTAATGTCTTTTTCGACACATATGTTTTTATTATAACCATCTTGAGTAATACTAAATTACCTAAAAACGGGTTACTCACGTGAATATATATCTGTATTTTCATATTATTTTTATATCCATATCAGTATTATTCGGATGTAAATACTAACTTAGAGTTGTAAGAAAAAACGTATATTAATCATAAACTTATAAAGTAGGTATGTATGTAAGTATCTCTAGAAAACAATAGACACGCGACACTGTTATTGTAATAGTTTTTATTCACATTTTGTTGACGTTTTGTTTACGTTATCTGTGCTTCTAATTTGTTAAATGGTTGTTTCCAGCCAGTTATTAATTTGTTGTCGGAATAATTAATTTATTTCTTTTCTCGCTTGGTCTTGACCTTGCCTGTTTAATCTGTATTGTATTTATGCGTATTGTTCCTAGATTTCTAATTACTTAAGTTTGAATTTATGGAATTTGTAGATGTTTTGTGCACTGAAAATTTTTATTTGTAAAAACTCGATAACTTTTACCGACTTCAGAATAAATTATGACCCTTCATCATAATTTCATATGAGATGATTTAGAACTCATAACTGTCATAATTTTTACTTATTGTTTTCCGTACGATATGTTTTTTCCTTATACCTACATCACGTTATCTCGTAATTGAGTACCAGCAATTGGGTCACGAATCCACTCACGCGCATATTTATCATTGGTGTTGTTATGTGTAAAATTATATTATTTGTTATTTAATATATTAGTTTACAATAACCGGCTGTTCTGTGCTCTATTCATACAGTTATCGTTATGAACTAAACGTTATGTAATACATGTGATTACACGTGTTGTGATTTATTTACAAAAAAGTTAATAGGTACGTAATAATATAAACAAAATATGGTCTTCTAATTAGAAAATAAATTCGTGGTTCTAACGGTAAACATAATTAACATTTTGTTTTGTTGTGAACGGATAAATATTGCTTTAAATTATTTAAGATTAGTATCTAAAAGCATTTTTTAAATCTTATTAAGTGTTAGATGCCCAAATCAAGTTGATTACCAAGTAGAAGATCAGGTTTGTTATCAAGATATCTAAGTCATGTTGCTCCTAATACAGAATAGTTATCATACCTACTCTAACTTTTCGGAGCCGCGGAGAACCTAACGGGTTACCGGGGCTACGGTTCGAAGTGCATGAGTAGGAACGGGGTGGTTTTTAGTCAGTAAGAGTCTGACACTCCCTCCCGCCTCACGCAGGCGGGAGAAGACTTTCGATGATTTTCCCCCTTTTAAAAAAAGTCTATGTCTTTGTTCGTAACCAATTATGTTCTAAGACATTTTACACCATATTATATTTATTTGCAAGGCAGTTAATCGCGTCGCGGAGAACCTAACGGGTAACCGGGGCTCCGGCTCGACGTGCAGGAGCAGGAACGGGGTGGTTTTAGTCAGTAAGAGTCTGACACTCCCTTCCGCCTCGCCCAGGCGGGAGCAGCCATTCGATGATTTTCCCTCCTTAAAAAAAAACGGCAGTTAATCGTAGGACCATATAGACAATATATCCGTTGAATATTAGTATTCAAACGAGACTATAGTTGATGGTATCGGTATTTAAAACAAAGCTACGTCTGACAATGCCAAAATGTCTGACATTGGCTCAGGGTTAATGACCTCTTCCAGGTCGATTTTGGGACTATATCAAAGATACGTTTGTTAGAGCGTTTAATTATATTATATATTTATGTATGTTTTTAGAAATCATATATGGCGAGGAAAATTGGTAATGAATAGGTTTCTTGTGGTTAGTATAGAGAAGACGGATCGTTTGATGATAAGTGTGGGACAGCCATGCTTCGACATAAATGGGTCGAGTGATACCACGGCCTCACAGAAGACTGATGTGAAACAACGTTGTGTTTCGTCGTGTGAGTGAGGTTACCGGACGACCAATTACCCCCCCCCCCCTCCCCTTTCCCCAATCCCTGAATCCCCCAACAATCCTCAATTTCCTAATCCAGAAGGCCGGTAACGCACCTGTAACGCCTCTGGTGTTGAGTGTGTCCATGGGCGACGCCGATTACTTATCATCAGGTGATCCGTTTGCTAGTTTGCCGGCTTATTTCATAAAAAAAACCATTGACACTCCTAAAACCAGAGGAGATTATATGTGCTTTTTTGGGACGGGTGACACTTCGGTCCGGTTCGGGAGGAGGGTGTAGGTGTACACATCCTAATAGGGGATGGGTCTATTGCCAAATACCTAGCGCAATCCCAGAATCAGTTCATATCGTTACTAAAAATTATGTCGAAAATAACCCCAATATTTTTAATGACATTTTTCTTCAGCATAGCAACAAGTCCTAGCTGTTTTTATTTTCAGAACTACCACCCTCCCCCCCACACGTAGTTACCGGACGCAAATCCGATCCCTGTTCTATTAATTGGAAGTGACAAACTCAATACCACTTCATCCTATACTTAACGAGTGTCCGCCATCGGGAATCGAATTTGCAATCTCGTTTGAACAACATCAGTGTGAAATACGTAGTGGAAAGGATTTCATATTAAAATCAAAAAGCATGTTTATGTGCCTTAAATACAAATTGAACACTTAATTATTACGTGCCTTCATCATTATCATCATCATCATCATCAGCCTATATTCGTCCACTGCAGGACATACTTAGGCCTCTCCAATGGCACGCCAATTACGTGCCTTCATTATTTTAAACATAATATAGGTTTCCTTATTATCATAGACTGCACGGTTCGTGCTGGCTGTTGCGCAACGTATAGCGGGTTCGATTCCCGCATGGAGCAACTTTTTGTATGATCCACAAATTATTCATTTGGGTCTGGGTGTGACTTGGTGGTGAATTTGTAAATATGCTTGTAAACCACACCCACGACAGGAGAAAATCCTAGTTTGGGGCAAAGTTTTCTTAAAATCAAAAATCTTCATCATCATCTGTGGAATGATATTCGCCTACTGCTGAACACAGACATTTTTTTAAAGGGGTTTGCTATTATCCCATGTTTAGCGAGCTACTTGGGGATCCCAACAGAGTAGTTTATCACAGTTAACTCAACGGTATAGACGACGTAGTTGATGTTCACCTCGCGATGATTAATCATAATTATAGGAAATATCCGGGTCCAAAGCTTCAGTTTATCACATTAATTTTGATATCTTTAATTATTCAAAGTCTAGATTCTGATTAGATACTCCTTACTCATTACTATTGTGAATCATTTCAGTTTTCAGTAGACATCACCCTTGACATCCCACACGTGTAATTTCATCCCTGAAGGTATTTCAAATGCTTCGCAGTTCTCAGTAACTCAGTCCTGTTAAATATGCGTGGTATTTAGTTAAAACTTTTATTATACCAGCGTATACAATTATATGTCTTATGTTATATAGTAAAAAGGTCTATAATTAAGTAATCTTTATGTATTTGATTACATGTTTATGTTCCTAAGGAATTGATTAAATATATAGGCTACATACTCTCCCCCTATTACCTATATTATCCCCTATTATTTTCATAAGTATAAGATCGCATTTTCGGTGCCCATAACTCATTGTCATTATATAGAAAACATTGCGTTCTCAATTAATACATTAATTTATTATTCATAATTACATGCATATTCGTATGTAGGTAATGATATCTATTCTGCATTTTAATGCATGTAAATCGCATTATTAGCTCCCATTGAGTAGTTTTCCTTAAACTTAGGTTTTAAATAGGTATTCTGTATGCAGCATCATAGATCTAAGTCGGATATAAGTACTTGAAGAATATTAAATCAGTTCATATCATGATCGTTTATCTAGATTAAACCATTGTACAATTATAATAAGACACATATTCCTTTATGATTACTTCCTTTCTTATGACAGAAGAGAAGGATGAATTACTGTCACGTAGGAGTACAAGGATGCAATGCGCGACATACGTATATTGTGACGTCATCATTAGAAAATATACACAAGTATGAAAGAGAGAGAGAATATTTCCCGGTTAGTTTCCTCAGTGTTCACTAAGGGGATTTGATGAGGATTTTCATTTTGGAACGGAGGGTCATGGGGTTTAGAAAAGTTTAGAGAAAAAGACGAAAAATCAAAGTCAAAGTCAAAATCATTTATTTCAATTAGACCAGGATGGCACTTTTGAACGTCAAATAACAAAAATTTATAAGTGAAGCTTATTGCTCATTCCAAGGCGTAGATTCCTATGGAGAAGAACGAGCAAGAAACTCCATAGGGTACTCTTTTTCAATCAGGTTTACAATACAATTCTCTAGTTACATAGTTTTATTGGTTCGATTATGTGAGAACAATGCAACACCTAAATCCAGTCAGAAAAGGTTTCTATACTAAGTAAACTTATATTGCCTTCTGTCGATAACAACTGTATTAAAATATCTTCTTTTTTTGTCCAACAGTGATCTACTGCGACTACAACGGGTCAGGTCGAGCCCTGCAATGGATAGAGGACTACGTTGCAAGAGATGTTCTGCCTACACACGCCACAAGATGCACAGGACTGTCCTATACGTCGGGACAGAGCGAGCTTTACAGGTAATTGTAAAACACAACATGACTATTGAAACGAGTACACGTTCAGAGCTCTGATTGGCCAGTTACAATGAACAAACCAATCAGAACGCTGAACGCGTACTCGTTTCGATTACTTTAAACGTAAAATAAACTAGTACTAAGAGATTAAAAAATATAGTTTTTGGATCACTTTATTTCCTATGGCCTTTTCCACAACTATATGCATTTTATGGTTGCCACTAAGTCTAAATCCAATTCAGCTGAAGTATAGTATTTCACTTAGAATCATAGACTGACTGTCTTCTACCCGCGGCTGTTATCCGCGGCTTTGCCATGTATTCCTGTTTTATCCCATGGGAGCATTTAACAATTCAAATAAAATTGCAAAAATCGCTATTATTGTAATGTTACTATGTTGATTTAATCAGACATAAAGTAATATAAAGTTGTATTTATATTATTCTCATTATGTCACATGGGAGCATTTAATCATTTAATCATAAAATTATCCTATTGCCTAAGTCAGCCCATACTAGGGTATGGCAGGCCTTTATACCAAATTTCACCAAAATCCATAGTTCCAGCGTGATTACCGAAAAAACATCGAGACATGCAAACAAAGAAACTTTCACATTTATAAAACGACTATTCAGTAATTTCACACTCCTCTTTAGACTCCTTTAAACGAGAGTCGTAGATACAATTTAGTGCCATTAATCTAGAACACCCTGTCTGTTGATCCAAATATACAAGTACATGTTTATGTAGATCGACTGCCTCGTTGGCCGAGTTGTCGCAAGTGCGACTGCCGGGCAAGGGGTCTCGGGTTCGATTCCCGGGTCGGGCAAAGTATTACTGGGTTTTTTAAAAATCTCAGTAGTAGCACGGAGTCTGGAAATGTGCCCGGTATATGGCAATAGGCTCACCCCCTATTACATGGGACTCATAACATAAATAGTGAAAAGTGGGTGTTACTTCTATGTGCACCTCTGCCTACCCCTTCGGGGATAAAAGGCGTGATGTTATGTTATGTTATGTTATGTTTATGTAGATTCACTAAAAGACAATAGATGTGTATGGAATATTGTCTAAGTTGATGATACGCTGTGTGGCGTGACGAAAGTACTTCTACACCTTGCCAGACAGGTAGTTGTCATTGTCTACGTCTATTGTCTAAACGTCTATCGATACACAATGTCTAACGCAGGTGGAATTTATATATACTGGTATAGTTAGACTAAATATTGATGAAAACTTTGGCAATGGAGGAACACTGCTATTGAAGGAAGAAAAGGATAATAATGGTATACAGATAAAATAATACTACACTTAAATAACATAATATTATGAATAAATATATTATACAATTTGAAATTAACGAAAACTAAAATAGCGAATGAAAAAAAACAAATAAAAGTAAAACGAAATTCCGTCAGTCAGGCGTCAAAGAATTTGTCTACAATACAATGACTGGGGAACATGGCAATGCTTATTTTCTGTCCGAAATTAATTAACTAAAGGATAATTGATAGGGAGAGGTGGATCAATTAAAATGTCTAGTAGAGGAGAATAGAAAGAGATATCTAGTAACGACTCCTTTGATAAGTACACTTACAACTACTGGTCCTCAATGAGGCATTCCGAATTTAAAATTTCCTCTTTTCCACAGATCAGAATCAAAGTCGATAATAAGACGGTTCGTGGGAGCTTGCCCTGAAGATGTGGCGGTGGTAGGAGCCACGCTGGTGAGGTTCCTCAGGGCACTGCGTCCGGAGAAGGTGGTACTCTTCGTGTCTTCGAGGGAGACGGAGAGGCAGATAGCGCCATGGAGGGAATATGACACTAAGGTAAGAGAGGTCAAACACGATGATTAAATGTGATTTAGTGTTTTAGATTGTAATGAATGTTGATTGTAGTAATAATTATTAAAATCTTTGAAGGAATTTACTAGCTCTAGTTACTAGTTTGAGTTTCAATAGTTCTTACCTCTTTCGACAATTTCTATTTAACAATGTGCCGAAGTCCAAAGGATTGGCTTTAAAAAAAGTGTCTATTTATAGCTTTCCTCTAAAATTCACACATAAAGCAATTGTTAGGACTGTTATATTAAATTACCAAAATAAAACAAAATAAAGTTAAATTCGTTCGTGCTATAATGGAACGTTTTGGTCAAAATGATTGTTTGTTAAAACGTAGACCGTATGTGAAGCTGGAGCAATAAAGTAATAGATGTGCTGAACTGGACATTTATTAGCAAAGTTTTTGGACAGTGTTAAAATTTATTTGGATAGTCGTATGTTTTTTATTTTGTCGCCACACGGTCAAAGCAGACGCGCCGGTGTGTTTTTTTAGTGTTAAAGCTATATTTGTGACCTCGAACCTTCCGATTTATGAGCAAAAGTATGTAAACAGATTCAAAAAATTGAAATAGGTTGCATTAATACTCATACTTTTCAATTACTAAAAAATACTGGCTGCTTAGTAAGAACATCACCTTTTTGAATTCTAAATTCAAATTATATTCTTTTTTTTATTAAATATTAGACAAAATACATAGAAGTTTTTCTATTTTCTTTGAATGAAATTGTAATGATAACTAACCTTTTTTATATTTTGCATACATAGTACAAACTTTGCAATATTCCGATGTTCGCGTGTTATTTATCACGTAGATCGTTATTTCAATAAGTTACTGACGGATACTCGTACGTAAGACGTTGCATGATCAGAATTAATTATTATCAAGTGTTAACTGACGGGATGCGCTTAAAGATGCTGTTTTCCTGTAGTTTTGAAGGTTAGTGTTACGTTATCGGTAATTAATAGTTCTTTTCTAAAGATTAGCCAATAAAAAGCTTTTTAAGGATCTCTGATGTATTTAAAATATATCATCGTGAATGTAGCTTTTTGTCTATCCAAATTAACATCTCATAAGTTAAAACCCACGTAATAGGCAGTGGTGACTCAGAATTTTCGAAGTAACCAAAACATCCAATAAAAGGTACTTAGTGTCAATCAAACTAAATCGTTATAAATTGATAGACAGGGGAAATCCGAAGCTTGATTCCATTTGAGACAAATTGCTCAAATGACGAATGAAATGAATTGGTAAATTAGTTCTCTTCTGTTGCGGTTATGAATACAAAATAATTTATTCAACACCTAACTTCGCAAGCGCAACATAATTGCAAAACATCGGACATTTCCACTCGTACGCAGCGCGACGTGACTTAGAACTAGTAAAGAGCGCCGTAAAATATAATAACTACTAGTAGTGGCAGTGCATTATATTATCGGTGTGCAACTAAATGCATTACGAGTAAGGCCAACTGCCGATAATGCGCCCTTGAGTTACGTAACGGAAGCGTGGACTTTTATAGTTTTTGCATACAATGAAAATATACGACCGAACATTGCAGGCGCCACCGCGACGCAACGACTGCTTGGAAACTTTTGATTGGTTATTTTATGTGTTACTTTATTTGTTTTTGCGTCGCATCGTTTTCTTATGCAACTCTATTGCATGTTTCGATGTCACTGTTATTTCAAGTGCTTGGCAGACGTCGTTGTTGATATGAATCGCGTGGAATATTTGAATGTTGCATTGGAAAGCTGATTCATTGATTGTTTTTGGTGTCTGTGTCATGGAATTTACCTATTCTTAGACTACTGTCTAGTTTCTCCTTCCTTTTACAGAATATCTTAAATTTTAAACTGTCATTTTAAGATTTTTTAATAATTTTTGTCGCTCTCTAGGCTACTAGAAAAATTATCGTGCTCGGCCACTCATTAACTCAAATAGTAGCGTGCCTGCATAACCCAATCACCCGTATATTTTCGCTATCATGCAAAACGCATTACATTGCGCTAACGACTGGCAAATTCCTTTATTTTGTCAACAAATGCATGGTTTACGATGTTTTCGCACGTGACCTGCTACGTCGGTTATTGTCCTTGGTGCAGTATCTATATATTCTTCAATCGATACAGGGTAAGTTTGACCTGTACTAGAACAGGTGGTTGCAAGGTTTAGAAACCCTGGAAAAGGTCAATGTGTGTTCACAAGGTTAGAAGAGAATAATATATGTTCTTTAGACCTTACTTTTATCTTACGTCTTCTTTATATTGGTGTTTGACTTCTGAGTTTTTCAGTTTACTCATGAAGGCATTCCTTGATCAACCATGCGGTCAAATACTATGAATATAATACCGTATTAAAAATTATTTCAATATTAAGAGGACTTTTTATTATGAGGATTTCAAATGCCGCCGTGACAATTCGTCAAACAATCAATTTTCCTTGCCATTTTTAGCAACACTTTCTTTTAAATTTTCTTGGAAAACTTTATGACTTGACGTAATCTTTAAACCGATGACATTTTTCATATGTGCTTACTAGTTATCAGCTATCCAAATGCCTTTTACTTTTATAGTCCCTCTAAAAGTCTATCTGAATATTTCTGTGGTAGGTAGTGCTTGACCCACTTATTTATTTATAGTTCCTGTGACCTTTAAGCCCTGCGCGGTAACTTCTGTCGATATCTCGATGCTGTCATCCCTTGTCACTTCTTTCTCAACTCCAGCTTTTATTTTTAAGGCTTTATGAAGCTTTTTGATATATATTTTTTATTCTATGTTCCGATTTTCAGTAGGTTTTTTGTTTTTTGTTAATCATACATAAATGTTATGTCCGAAGAATTATGTATGTAAAAACGAATGTCGGATTAATAAAGTTGTTTGCATTTCTATTAATTACTTGGGCAGTCACGGAATTTTATCTTTATGATATTATGATAATATGTATGCAGCCAGGTAAATTTTATATGAACAGCTACAAGCAGTAAAAACGAAGTAAAAAATACATTTTCATCTATCCATACCATTGGCGTAGGTTATAGTATTTTAAATTAAAATTGTAGAAGATATTATAGTATTATTGTATTTTAATATGGGCCTTCGTTGCCTGATATTAATAAATAAAATAAAATAATCCTATGATCCTAGTCAGCATTTAATTTTATTTTTTTTAATATATTATATTTATATGAAAATAATGACAGAAAAGCATCAAGAAATTGGCAAAATCATATCTTATCTTAAAGATCTTATAGAAATTACTTTATAGAAAAGATCGGTAACAATACGAGCACTGATTTAGGAAAAATGTGTCATCGAGTCTACTATATATGTATGGTAGGTACTGTTTCTGTAAAGAATCCATCTTTAATGATTTCCTCACCTGTCAACCTCATAGGTACTAAAAAAAGTGGCTGACTGTACATACCTTTTTTTATAACCTCCTTTTCCAAAGTCGGTTAACAAAGATTAATTAGTAGGTAGTGGTGTACATGTAGAATGGAGTTGTTTACCAAACGTGACCATTTTATTATGGGCATCGTAGTAAATTTTATTATCATCTGCTAACAATGTTAACCAGACTGTATGTACTATACTATTGTTTACGATCAAGTTGAATCTTGGCAATGTATTTAATTTCATTGTATTTTCATACTTTGTTGAGGTTTTCATTTTATTTTATTATCTTCTTTGTTTTCTTGCAAGATGAGCTTCTTGTTTGCTTTGTAGTTTTTAAGAAATGGTAAGGCTATTCCGCTGTGTTTAATCTCTTGCAGTATAATACTTTATTGTATAAAGAGGACAATTTTGTCAGATATACTTATTGAAAAGAACTAGACATGTATAAAAGAATCTAATTAAAAAGTAATGTTTTCTAAAGGCATATGAATGTTATCTAGTTACCTAATCCACATAATATATAATAAAGTTGGATCAAAGACTGCCTCGTTGGCCGAGTGGTCGCAAGTGCGACTGCCGGGCAAGGGGTCTCAGGTTCGATTCCCGGGTCGGGCAAAATATTACGAAGTTTTCTAAAAAAAACTGTGGTAGCTTGGAGTATGGAATTGTAGCCGGTATATGGCAATAGGCTCACCTTCTATTACATGGGACTCATAACATAAATAGTGAAAAGTGGGTGTTACATTGTAGTGACATTAAGTGCCGTATAATGTGTACCTCTGCCTATCCCTTTGGGGAAGGCGTGATGTTATGTTATGTGGTTAGATTAAAATCAAATAGTCAGGCTTTCATCCAACAACCCTCACATGATTAATATATGGCCCTTATGTACCTATGTGAGAAGACAAATAATCAATTCTACCTATAACTCCTAACCTTTGATCTTTAATGAAATTCGGATCCTATCTATGTTTCGTATAGCAGTCCCTTGTTCGTCCTAACGTGAAAATAATTAAATTGATATTGCGAGCAATGCCTACGTAATAGAATATTCTAGAAAATGTAGGTAATCAAATTTTTCTTTATATCTACTTTAATTGTGGTCGAAAAGGTCTTGTTTTGTTTAAGGCTTAACTTTGAGAATAACAAAAACAATTTTCAGTCTATGTAACTTCGAATTTCGAATTCTAAATTGGAATTTTCTTGACCTTTAAGGTAGACGTAGATAATGTATTTCTGAATTCTCTTTTAGTTAGATATTTGGGCTAATAAATGGGGATGATGACAGGGTATGAAAATTAAAACTATAATTAGTCCGTAAGTTAGGTAATGAAAAAATATTAGACACGTATTTTTTTATTTTGTCGTATAATAAAACAATACTTAGTTAAAACGAATCAAAGTTTAGGAGTGGGGGCTAAAACGTCATTTCTTAGTATAAAATTTACTGAGAAGTGACGTCACGCGACATTTCAAATCTTCGAAACTATTCGTTTCTGTGAGAAAATAAAAAATACGTGTCTAATGTTTTTAAATAATCTATCAGACGGACATTAAAATAAAAATTAGTCGTCTACCCTATTTTAGTGACTGAACGTTCTATGTCTTCGAGAGGTTCGTTGCGACCTAGCTGATATTGGTGTAATTTATGTAGTACCTTTGTCTTGTGTTGTTTAACTTAGTGGCTAATAATATCTATCCAGGGTCGTCCTTATCGGTAGGTTGATACGCATTAATTAATTCCAATCTGATTATAAGTTTCAGGATATATTTTTCTAAAAATGATTTCTGATTATCTAGAGTTAACTGTATAGTGGAATGTTATATCTTTAGTCTTCGGAATTTGGTCATCAAATCTCGTTCTTTCCTACAGTTACTTACAGATTACAATCCAATAAAATTCATGTACCTAATTTCAAATTCAAATTCTTTTTATTGCATATCATGTGTACAATTGGGTAGTTTCCAGGATATCAAAATTAAAAATCTATTTAGTCCATCAGTTAGATAATGAAAAAATATTAGACACGTATTTTTTTTATTTTCTAGTATTTAGTTGCAATACTTAGATAAAATGGCGCTAGTTTTAGGTTGTTACGTCATAACGTGCTACAAAATGTGGCACGCTGTGACGTCACACGATATTTCAAATTAATATAACGTCGAAAGTATTTAATTTTATGAGAAAAGAAAAAATCTGTGTCTAAAGTTTTAAAATAATCTACCACACGGACATTAAAATAAAATTTAGGTAACTACCCTATTGGTGTTACCTGAGGTACAGTTAATTTATAAGGCTTAATTTATCCTATGGTTAGTCTTTAACCGATATAGTTGTAATAAGTAATGAAATATGCTTGAAGTCCCAAGTATCAAGTATGAATGAGTTCACCTTCCCTCTATATAACCCGCAACAATACTCCGGAAACCCGTTAGTAGCAAGATTATTCTTCCTTAAGTCATTTCCTGTTAGGGATGTACGTATATCCGTGTAGTAGTATCGATTTGCGATCTTATAAATTGAATGAGTGTGTAGTTCTATTTTAAACAGTAAAAAGACGTGAAATACATTAAAGTATCAATGGGTCAAGCCCGCCATTCACTGATTTTATTTTTTGTAAAGAAGTTTAGAATAATAATATGTAAGCTTTTGAAGTTTTACGAATGTTTTGCGAGAATTTACGTAAAAGGTGACATCAATTTAATCACATTAGCAATGAACATAAGACGTAGATGAAACGTGATCGTATTAGTCATCGATACTGTAATCCTTAATTTATATCATTTATCTCTTAATTTGTTACGACTATCGATACTGATACATCCTTATTATTTCCTGTCTTTTATTGTATTCTATCGAGCTCTCCTCCTTCCTCATTTCATTTATTTATATCATAAGCTTGTATTTAACGAAAAATTCCCGTATTTTACAAACTGACTCCTCCGTCCTTGATGCTCCAGTGTTGAGTGGGTGACGTCACGCTATAGTTACAGCCATGGAGTATTATTATATGGAGTAATGAGGCTGAAGACGTGGCCCTTTATACCAATTTGTATTTAGGTGGTTCTCTGGATATTGGGCTGTTCAATGGTCAAAATATGATAGTCATCATTAGCCCATTTCCATACGATATTTGAAGTATAACAAAATACTTCAGTTTTTTGTTAAATTTAATAAACGATTTCTTTGTTGTTTATCTGTTCGTTACTGTGTTTCCTATTTAACACGTGTTCATAAACAGATACAGTACTCCATACCCCCATACTTCACGACCATAGGGATTGCGTCGTAGTGTGTAGCGTGTTTACAGGCCCTTAAACGCACCTCGCACTGGTCCCAACAATGACATCATCGCATTTTTCCTAAAGTCAAGTACGGGTCAGGAATTTGTTTGTCAGTTATATTTAGTACTGTTTTTTTCATTTCCTGTTGTTTTCGATGGTTCTTTTTTTTAATTATATTTGTTGGATGTGTTGTTTTAATTATTTGGTTTGTTTTTTTTTGTATTAAGATGTGCGTAAATTAAGTTATTTTTACGCTTTAGGTGATGTTGATGTAGACAGTAAAAGAAAACTAAAGACGTGTTAGAAGATATTTGCATCAATTTTCAACGTGTACCTTATAATGATCTTGTTACATTAATATTGTTTGTAGATCCAAATTGATAACCATTAAAGATAATATCCATTAAAATAGATATGACTGGAACCACTACAAAGGTTCATGATACTTCTTATGTATCTTGGATGTTGTTGTTGTATCCTTGGGTTAGAATTGAGACGTTACAAGTAAGTTCATTGAAATTCAGGACGTGTATTCCCACTGAAGCTGGTCTGTTCTTGTAATTGTTAAGTTCAGATTCAAGATTGTTCTTAAGGAGCGGTTAAGCGTGATAAGAGTCGTTTATTGTTCGATTTTGCATTGTCTGTCATTATATCTTCAAGATTTTTTCTAAAATTGATAATAACTATTTGTCTGATACTTAGCTGAACTGTAATGAAAATTATTTAATAGACGTTACCTTTACTTTAGATCCAATTTTAGCCAAATACCTAATTATAGGCCCATCTAAAAACATGCAATCGTAAAACCATTTTTTTTGTTTTTAACCTTGGTTATCTCTTGAGTTACAATGTAAAATCTCGTGCAGTCATCAAAGCATTTATTTGTTACTTGCTGCACTAATTATGTTTGCAATAAGCAGATGAATACATCACTAATTTCTGTCCAGCAGTTTTTGTGATGGCCGTCTTTAAACAGACAAACATGTGATGTTGATGTGTTTCGACATGTTCTCCTAAACTAATGTCTGTTTAATTTATGTTTGTATTGTTAACAGTTTTTTATCTTCACAAATTCTAAGAACGAAACGTTGTTTGCGTGTTTACCTCAGAAATTTTGCGTGTAATGGTCCTGTTTCATATGAATTACGGTTATGACTTAAATTATTATTTTTTGTTTGTAATGGCGTCTTGTTTTAAATCGTAAATATAATGTGATCTTCGTATTCTTTGTTGTTTTTAAACCTTCTGTGTATTGTAGCTTTTTAATGTAGATATGTATGTGTGGTTTATAGGCAGGTAAATGACGGGAAATTGCTAATTAGTGCTTGGTTAACCAATTACTGGTTGAGCCAATAGGTACGGTAACTGCTCTCTACACAGAAATTGCCATATTGAAACGTTGATTGCGAGTTAGATACCAAAATTGGTATTTTCGTGTAATGGGATACAACATTTTATGTTTTTTTTATCAAAATTGGAGTTGGCTTCTAAAGTTTCAAGTCATGAAAAGTGACAATAATAAGATATCAATGGCTGCAAAAATCGATAGTGTAATTATCTACCGGTTTCAATAACTAGATTTGGCTCCTGGAAATAGAATTTTAACACGGTAATATTAATTGTAGCGTGTCAAGTAGGTAAATCTGTTGGGATTGACCTTTAGCCTATTTATATCCTAATCTATGACCTGCCAATCTGCTGAGTGCCTTCAATTATAAGGCTATATAATCTGTGAGTGCTGTAATGTAGGACATTAATATGCCTGGACACTAATCTATAGCAATTTGTGTCTTGTTAATGGAAGTCTGTTCCCGATACGCCATTTTATAGATTTTTTTTTCTTTCATGATATAATTTAATATGGTTGCCTATTTTTCTGACAAAGATTTTTAACAGCTACTTTTTGTCAGTTTTGTCAGATATTTTATAACGGGTTAGTTTTGCATTGTGTTTTTTCTCAAAAGTTCTTTTTTTACAAAACATCGACGTTTTCAGAGGATTATTATTAAATTAATTATTAATTGTTTGATAAAATTGACACTGGTTAACTACACCTTTAATGGAACTTTTTGGAAATTAAATGCGTAATGTTATATTAAAAGTTTCGAAGCCTAGTTTCTTCTAAGGAATACCAAACATTTACTGTTCTCACAACAAATTGACCGAACAAAACCTTAAAATTGAGGCATAAAACACAATAACGTTCCTAAATTTTTGCCCGGCGAAAAATGTAGAAATTGCGTACCTTAGTAGATTTAGAAGTACCTGCTTTTAGCTGAGTTAGGTGTTCGTGCTGGCTCAGATTGAGACGAACCTTAAATAAAATAAGTGTCTCATCTTTTTTATACGTCTGGCTTCTCATAAAATGTGGAATAAGGGATCTTATTATTATTATTATTATTTTAGGTAGCTAACGTGCTCCAGTTTTGTTAATGTTGAATCTAATAACAGTAGACGTATACTATAGCATTTTTGTGGAAGAATTATACTCATATATCGACACGTATTTATCAAATTGAATGTCTTGTATACAAACTATCTACATAAGGAATGATAATTTCATTTTGAATGCTTAAAATTGAATCAATGTTTAATTCTATTAGCTACGTCGTTCAGCATATATTCGCCATTTATTAAACACGTTAGACATGTTTATTGGTTTTGTCCAATACATTGTTTATATCGGCAATAATTTTCCAACTTACAAATCTTATTATCTTCGTAGACAGCTTGCCATGTCGGCATTTACATATCTGTGTTTGAATTTAAAACAGAATGGCAAGCATTGCTTTATTATTTACTTATTTATGAGTGTATTAGATTTATTCCCAAGCTAAACTTAAGAATATCGTCATATGCAAGTGTTGGAAGGAATAGTACTAAAATCTAATTTGATAAATGTTTATGATGTTGGGAACGTTATCTTTCAAATGTGCAACAACGCTTGCGTTGTGGTGCGTAGTGTGTGAGGTTACCGGAGGCCCAATTATTCCCCCCCCCCCCTACCCAGTCTCCCCAATCCCCGAATCCTCCACAATCCTCAAATTCCCAATTCCCAAAAGGCCGGTATTACACTTGTAACGCCGGGCGACGCCGATTGCTTTCCATCAAATCGTTTACCGGCTTATCACATAAAAAAGTAACGGTTCATTATTTAATCAAATTAGATACTTTATTATTTAAAAAAAGTTTTTCCGAAAATATTTGTAACTATCATTATTTTTCATTGTTACAGGTCATAAAAATCCCAGAAACGAAAGAAGGTTACATTGACTTGAACAACTTGGAACAGAGACTACAGCAATACAGTAGCACAGGGAAGAGAATGATTGGATTCTTCCCAGCAGCTTCCAAGCTAACAGGAGTCTTAGCTGATGATGTGGCCACGACACTACTCCTGCACCAGTACGGAGCATGGTCCTTCTGGGACTACACCTTGGTCGCTCCTTCGTCTGCTATCGACATGAACCCAACTTTCCCAGGAGTTGATGAGGAGATGGTAAAGAAGGATGCTCTCTTCTTTAATTGTGAGAAGTTCGTTGGAGGTGTCCAAGGTCCGTGTGTTGTGATTGTGAAGAAGGATGTGTTTGCTGATACTCCGATTTATGCTGATGATGTTGAGGTTTGTATTCTTCTTTATTTAATGTGGGTGTCATTGGAACATATATCTTAGTGCATTGATTCGAAGGTCGTTTTATAATCATCAGTTGAGAAGACTCATCCGATCAACAAAGCTAAATTTTGACTAATGAATATTAACAGTTTCTTACGTTAGTATTACTATGACGTAGCTTGGAAGAAAACTCTGTGGTTCTATTTTACCTGAGTTCTCTCTAAAGTTGTCTCAAGTCTTAGATAATGCAAAGAATACACAGCAACGAAATTGAATGAGTTAAATATGTATGAGAGCATGATGCTAACCTGACTACAACTGTGGTAGATCTTTCCAGAATTTTCATCGTATTATCGCTACGAATTCTTGTTTAAACTTTTACTATTTGTTGGAATTTGTGAAATTATTATTATTTCAACTATTTTCATCATCAACAACAACCTATAAATGCCCACTGCTAAGCAAAGGCCTCTTCTCACACGGAGAAGGTTTGAGCATTAATCATCACGCTTGCTTAATGCGGGTTGGTGATATCAAACTTATAATTAGAAATTATAAGCCTAGGTTTCCTCACGATGTTTTCATTCACCGTTTGTCAGTGGTGTCTGAATAATATTAGAAAGTACATAATTCTGAAAAACGTCACATTGGTACTTGCCGTTGATAAGTTTTGAACCCGCACCCTCATGCATGAGAAGCGGGCGTCTAAAGCGTCTTAAACTATTTTTATACAGGAAACAATTCTTCTTTTTATTGGTATAAAATATTAATTTATTCACGTTACAAAGGACAAAGCGTTTTGTTTTTTTTTTTAATTGGTTCCAACTAGACTTAAGCCCCCGTCTGTTTCCGTTGTTTTAGTAATTGGGACTTAAAAGGTTTAAGCTTTCGGAGTAGTTCTTAATTGGGTTTCCATCAATTGTATAGATAAGTTTGTATATTTCTAAGGGAGGTATAAATTACAGACTTGAGACATTTTTTACATACGTAGTAGGAGCTACTTATCGCTTTGCCAATGGCTGTCTTTAGTACGAAGTTCTCCAAAAAGAGTAGCGAGAAGATTGTTTCCTGTATGTAAAACATCTTTACTACAGTTAAAATTACTTAAAGTAAAACACTGGATCTCATACAGTTTATTGTTGTGAATAAAATTATATTAATTCAAGTATCTACTAATATTATTGTAGTGTAGTATCGTCTGTTGGCACAAAACCTTAACATACTATACACCTAAGGAGAAGGAACGGGGTGGTTTTTAGTCAGTAAGAGTCTGACACTTCCTTCCTCCTCACCCAGGCGGCAGCAGTCATTAGATGATTTTCCCCCATTAAAAAAAAACCTTCTCTAAGGATCAGTCTCCCTGTTGTCAAAAACTGTATGATAATTAGACTCGTACTTACGTTTCGAGTTTATCGCGAACAGACAGACTTCGTTTTATAATATGTAGTGATTAGATAATTATGTAAAGTTAACCAATAGATAAGTATGGCTTTCGTATCTTAACGCCAACGGTTTCCTTCAGGTACTAAGCGAGAGGATCGAAGAGTTGAAGTGTACTAAGGGCGTGAGGGCTGCCCTAGTGATGCAGTTACGAGATGCAGTCGGCCTTCAAAATATTGTCGAGAGACAAGATAATATAAGCAGGTAAGGTGAAGTTATTTATATATACATTATACATCGTGGTTAGAAGTTGATCTGGTTGCATAATTTTTAGGCATCGCACCGATCCTTACTTTTAAAAAGGTTAAAGGTTCATTTTTCTTAAGTTTGTCGTTAGTTATAAATAAAGGGTGATTAGTATGCTTGACTTTATTAAATAATACAACAGATATTCGCTATAAACTAAAGTTATTTTTCTTAAAAATATAAACTATAAATAATGAACCAAACAGTAGGACAGCGTTGGCGTGTCTTCCTGGGAGACAGGCTTGAGGTTATGTATGTAATGTATGTATGGGTAACACAGCATTTTCTATGACAAATATTTTATTATGCGCTCTTTAAATTTAAACTCAAACTGTTAATTAAATCAAAACAGTTATCGTTCCAAGTAATGTTATACCTTCTTCTAAATATAAAATTTCAATAGCAAAAAATAAAAAGTAAATATATTAGGTACTGTTGGTTCAATAACGGTAAACGCAATTACGCGTTTCTGTTTTTTATAACACTTTTTATCAAAACGAGTACCCACTTTTTATATGATATGTATACTAGTTAGGTATATTTATTTAGGTAATAGCATATTTTAATCGAATCGTTGCTTTCAATCGAATGAAAAAAGTATTAATTTAAAACCTCCACAATTCAAATTGAGTATAAAAATGTCTTCATTACTTTTCAATTGACTTTGAACTCCACTCTTTTGTAATTACGTCACATTTTTAAAATAGGTTTTCCTCGTCAAGGATTTTGTTGAAGCACACTTGGTAATCTAGGCACGTGTCACTTCAATAACAAGTTCATTTCGCTCCAATAACTCGCTCCAATAATATTGCAACATGGAGGTTGTTAGTATATGTGATAACGAGCTAAGCTTGTGTAGAACTTACCTAAAACAACAAAGACACGAATACCTTGCTGTATAGTTTCCAGCACACCAACCTCCTCCAATTTGTCAATTTTTGCCATTGGATTTTTGACTTCATATGTAGGTGATAGAATTGAAAACCTAATGAAGAAATTTGACAGTAAATATTAAGTCGGGCTACTGCCTACTGTACCTAGAGTTTTAAGTTTTTGCTATTCTGGTTTTATTAATTCGTCAAATGAGAAAAAATTACCTCATCTCATGAGGATTTAAAAACCCTCTGTGGTTCGAAACTAGTAGAGCTTTTCTCAGTATATTCACGTGAGTACCTAACCCGCGATTTTTAGTTAATAAATTACCTATTTTGAAAGTCTAACACTTTAATATAATAATACCAATAAATAAAAAGAAAAGCTTTGAAAGCAATTGTTTGTCCCACGATTTATGAACAAAAATGTTCAACATATAAATAATTTTTATTCGCATTTCAAACTTTCCAACTGAAATTTTAACAACGTACGTCGTACATGTCCACCAATTAAAAGTTTCAATTTCATACATAGTTTTTAACTAAATAAAAAATTACATTATTTTTGTAACACAAATGTTTGTAGGAATATTTTTGAAACCTATTAATGTAATGCCATTATAGTGGCTATATTTGCTGAAAGAGGGCAATATAAAAATACTGTTCAGTTATGTTCCGTACTGTCTAGTACCTTGAGGCCACTTAGACCCCGTGCCCAGGGCCCCATCCTCAAGGGGCCCCGAAGGACGATTTCTACGATGGACATGACAACCGCTTGCCACGAAACTTGTAGCGGGGTTGATTTCCACCCGTAGCAAATATTTGTGTGCTTCACAAATTGTCGTTCGGTCTGGGTGTCATGTGTATGTGAACTTGTATGTTTGTAAAAGCACCATATGTAGAGGAGAGAATCCCAGCGTGGGGCAACGTTAAAAAAAAAACATTCTTAAAGGGCCCGGAATCATTGTGCCCATTGGCCCCAGCGTAGACGGTCCTAGTTATGTTTATAGCTCTAAGTATTGCCAACTGTTAGAGTTTTGTCTATAAATCAATTATATATGGTAATGAGTTAAGTCAATTACGAAATAAAATACATATTGACTTAAATAATATTTTGACTGCACGGTTGGTGCGTTTGCTGGGCAACCGGCTGCCGTGAACGTGTCGCAGGTTCGATTCCTGCACGGAACAACACTTTGTGTGATCTATAAATTGTTGGTCCGGGTCTGGGTGTCATGTGTATGTGAACTTGTATGTTTGTAAACGCACCCACGACACAGGAGAAAATCCTAAAGTGGGACAACGTTTTTTCCATATGTATATATGTATCCATTTTACGTCCTTTTCGCTGTTATGAATTGAAAAATCGTCTAGATGCTAAATAGACTGGAAATCAAATTGAAAACTTCTCACCACAAATAAATACTCGGCCTTTTTTTAATTACTTCAAACTTGTTTCGCTCTAGGATTTGATTCGAGGACTTAACCTCAATGAATTAAGTTTAATACAGTTAATAAATCAGCCTATACAAAACACAGCCAAGCCGTAATACTGTTTACACTATCAAGCGTTTTATATTTTTATGACAGCGCATTAACAGTGCATTCTCAGGGTAACACAGGAAATAATAAAACTAGAGATATATTGCATAACGTGACATGTTAGTGGTAAACAAAGCATTTATCTATTAAAATAAAATTGCGATCTCTTTGAGTGGCGTTTATATGCAACCGTAAAACTGTTCTGGACTTAGGTTTCATGGCTAGACGTACACATTCTTGATTGAGTGGTAATGGTTTTAGGAAAACTAAATAATGTTTGCATAATAACTGTCGTGAAACATACTAAATTAACTAAACATTGCGACTTACTCAAATAAATATACTTATATATTAAAGAAGGGCCAAATTAAAAGTACCCTTAACCGATAAGCATGCATGAAAAGATTGATGACTGTTGATGAAGCGAAAGAGGTATGTAGGAACCGTAGTAACTGGCGTTGCCTAGTCTCTGCCTACCCCCATGGGAGACAGGCTTGAAGTTATGTATGTATGTATTGCGGCTTAAAAACGTGAAAAACGTGATTTTTAGTTAACCAAATCATGTATTTATCAATTTTTTCCACTTATATGATTTACTTTTTTTATATCACTGAATACGTTTATGAATACAAGTTTCAAATGACTTTTATAACTTCTTAAAAATATTCAATAGTCACCGGTTGTCATTGTCGAGAAGCTTCATTTTAACTGTTATTTTTCGGTAATTGACCACTGCAGATCTTGACGTACAATATTCTCAGCGGGAGCTATGTGATAGATCTGCCACAAAAAAATCTTTGCATGACGTACCCCATGCCTAATATTATCTCCACCAGATTTAAAATAATGTAATTGCTTATAAAAAGTAGAATGTTCAAAGCTCATCCTACAAAAGCCAGGGTGAAATGAAATTATATTCTATAGCGACTGATAAGCAAAATTGCTTTCAAAGTACTGGAATTTTCTACCCGCTTCAAACCCATATGAATAGAAGTCTATTATAATTTAAATTCTAGTCAGTCAGTCTCAGTGGTACTGATAAATAAACTCATAATTTTATGTCGTTGTTTACTTGTGTGGTTGATATTAACATACATTTAAGTAATGGTAATAGACTTATTGTGTGTAGAACAGATGAATTCATAAATCTACATAAGAATACATTCTGAAAACACGGATTTTTTACTCCTATTATGGTATTTTAAATATTTCTTAAAAAGTAAAATGACCGGAACTCCTTTTCTATATCGAATCATTGGAATATTTGAAAATTTCCATCAAGTTATAGCTTTGGAATTTAACACAGTATACGTAACATTCAATCGTTTGAGTAAAAGTGTTGGAATTTTAGCTTGATATTCAATCGACGTTCATGAAAATGTACTACCATAACTACAGTTTCAAAATCGTGCAACAACAACTTCATTAAGAAAATCCAACACACACAAAAATCAACTTCTCTAGCTACCTACTACTTATTTGAGCACGGAAGGCGCAGTGTCTGTGACAGGAGCCCGTGCGTCATACATACAGAGTTGCTGACATACTACGTCACGATTTATGATGCTGCACATGAATAGGGACCGGAAAACAAATGAATTTTCTTACTTGAATCTTTGAAATTTATCGGCGAAGATATTTTTAAGATTTTAACTTGGGTTTATTGCTAGAGTTCCTATTTTTGTATAAAATAACATAACATAATATCACGCCTTTTATCTCCGAAGTTGTAGGCAGAGGTGCACATTATGCCACTGTACAATGTAACACCCACTTTTCATTATTTATGTTACGAGTCTCATGTAATAGGGGGTGAGCCTATTGCCATATACCGGGCACAATTCCGCACGATTTTTGTATAATGACGAAATAATGTTTTATAACATTAATATCTTGATTGGTGGAAAGTTTATCTGTTCTGTTGTATAGGTTCCTTCAACTTTAATAAGCATGCAGTTTTCCCATGATTCATGCATTACCAAGAAAAACAAATAGATTTCAAATGATATACTTAACAATGACTGTTACAAAATCAGATACCATCGACGTATTTACTTACTACAATATTTTTTTTATTTTTTTTTTAAATTACTACAATATGTAGATATTTACGTAAAACATTCTACAATAATTCACTTCACATGTTCAAACAATTATAAAGACAAATAGATAGTACTGCAACTGTCCGGTTTGGCACAGTTCCCGTCACAGGCAGATCTAACTGTTTCACCGCAGTTTTTATTTCACTGCGGCTTCCTGGAGTAGAATATACATCGCAAATTATTTTAGTAATATCCCACAAGTCAAGCTTTATTACTTTTCATGCACAGACTTTGTCGACTCCGTGTACAAATATCAAAAGATTTACACATTATTGTCATGTAGTTATTATTCAATGATAAAGAACTCGACACACTATGGTATGTTTCCGTATTGTATACGTTTTACAAATTCATCTTCTATTCAATTATATTAACTGTCGTACGTCGTACATATATTTCGATCCTAACCATCCAAGTCTTACCACATAATTAGTCAAAGGTT